TTTCCAGTCATGGATTCGGTCATGGATGCGGTCATGGCTGAAACGAAGGTAATTCAAGTGCACTCCAGAATCCCGGCAGGGATGCTGTATAGTACATTGTGCACATTGTTATAGAGGTAATGTACTATGCAGCATTTCAGAGGGGATTCGGGAGTCCATATGGCATATAATTGTCACTTTTTAGAAAGGAACAAAACATGAACACATAGCCAGCATATGACCATTGGGAACATGACTCTGCCTCATGACCGGTAACATGACCGGTCATGAGGCCTCATGAGTGGTCATGAGGCAACATGACCAGATCTATGACAGGAAACCCCCCGCATGACCACATCCATGACCTAGTCGTTCCCCGAGTGATCAATAACTCCCAAAGAAGATTAAGTCCTTGACCACGAACCAAAGGCAGCTTGATAACCAAAGCCATGATGTGCATACAGGCACACATGATGGGGCCAAAGTGCACGCAGGCACACAGAGATGAGGCCAAAGTGCACGTGGGCGCACATTGATGGGGCTGAAGTGCACGTGGGCACACAGTGATGGGGCATAAGTGCACGCGGGCGCACCAGATGAGACCAATGTGCATGCTGGTGCACAACAGGATAGGCAAGTTGCACACGGGTGCAACTCACAGAAAGACAAAAACATCTGAGACAAAGGCATGCGGGCCTGTGTACAACACTCAACATTTCATCTCATGCATTATGGCCAGCATCGTCATCGCGCCTCTTGTAGTCGTGTCCAGAGCTGCCGCACACTCTGCCTCCTCGTGAGCCACCTGCTCCATCGCCGCCTGTGCGGCTGGCAGCACGCTTTAGCACTTGCTCCTTAACTCCATCTACTAATTTTCCTGGCTTGGTCTTGTCCCGGAACTTGTCCTCATTGCACAAATTGCTGAAACAAATGTCTGCAGCCGCAAGACCAATGCGCGGCTCAGCCGCAAGGGTGTTGGTGACCGCCATGCCGAAAGGGTGTTGGTGACTGCCATGCCGACCTGCACGGTGGATCATAGGCTTGAGGACTTTCATAGCACCCTTCACTTTCGGTGGAACCTCCACCAGCAAAGCTAAAGCCAGCTTTCCCTGCGTGGCAAAACCGTGCAAGACTTGTTTGCAGAAACCCGACGGGTCTGTAGGCTGTCGAGCCTCGATACCGTAGTGACAGGAAATGTTCGTGATTTTAATTTCGTGACGGCATCACGAAATTATGTCACATATAAATTACAAGCTGTTCCAGGCGATGGTCGTCACGAATATATGTGTGCTCCGAAGCCAAATCGTATAATGCCTTCAACACAGTAATTACTCGTCGAATTCCACTTTTCTGGCCATATATACATCCATAGTAATTGAACGGACATGGATCCGAGGGCCAAGCGGCCTAAGCAACAAAGCCTCCTTCAATGCGGACTCTTCACACTTGCTCGCGGCGCCCCAGCTACGGATAGAGCTGGTTTTGCCGCTCCTAAATAACCGTGCATGCATTGGCCAGCTTTTGCGTCAATCGACGTTCTGAGTCGGACCCATTAACGAATATTGCAGGCACCGTTGCTTCGGTTGCGTTGGCTTCTCACGAATTCAAAAGTTTCACAAATAATTTCGGGTGTAATTTTGAGGGTGTCTCGAACAATAAAATCACGACCATTTCCTGTCACTACGGTACACCGCAACCACTCCGGTGCCTCGTTGTCACTGCTCGATGAGGAACTTGAGCTTGAGCTGTCGTCCTTCTTCTTCCTTTTTTCCTTGCTTCTTTTTGCCTTGTCTGGTGCAACCGATGCCGCCCCCGCCTCGGCTGGCGACAGAATGGTGGCTGCCGGATTTTGGCCAGCTGTCATTACTTTGGCCATGGAGGCCAAAAGCTGGCTCTGTTCCGCCATTTGTTGCTGGAGTGGGGTGATGTTCTGCTGGATTGCAGTGTTAACCAGCACCGCTCCCGCGGCGGGGCTGCCGGCCGGTGGAGAAGGACGGTTGAGAGGTGGTGAGAAGGTGATACCACCAGCCTCGCTGGTGGCGGGACCCGCGAGGCCAGTGGTAGCGTTGATCGCCACATTGGCGCCATCTTGGGCGGCCGTACCTTGCCGTTGATGCGATTGCTCGTTGTTCAATGTCGACATCTACCTTGATGAAAAAGAAAAGACAGGAGCCTGAAAGAGAAGGTGATGACTAGGTAGGGCTTCAATAGTGAGCACGATGCTCTATCCGAGATTGCCAAGCACAACAAATTGTCAGCTACAAGCTGAAGCTCTACTGAGTGAAAGGCAGAATGCCTGTATCGAAAGAGCTGAAGCAAATAAGACTCGCCATTCCAATACGGTTGTACGACAGTCGCACAGAATTACACACGTTAGCCCGCTTGTGAAGATCGAGTACCGCTCCTTCATGTTTGCCATCGCCAAAAAAACAGCAAAGCAAAGCGCATGTTGGTAAAACAAAAGCAGGCCCGGATGTTGCGATGTCTGCTTGCATACACACAACGGGGCCAACGGTTCACCGGTCAACACCCTCGCTCGCGGCTCAGTTCCTAAAAACACAACGGGGCTAACATCTCAACACAGTTTGCTCATAGATGTGCCCTGGAACAAGCTAGGGACCGTCAACAGCGAACAGGGAAAAATACGCCAACCGCGAGCGTGTAGCATGCATGGAGGGGCTGCCTGCTGGGACGGTTGCGCAGTCGGATACGATCCCCGAGCACTTCCAGGTAAAAAGTCGTGTGACCGTATCGCTTATCTCCAGCGAGCATCAGATCTTTACCCCTTCGCCACGCTGTGTCCGCAGTGCCCGCTGTGCGACGGCCGTGTCACAAAGATTTTCAGGCAAGCGCGGTCTTCGCCCACACGGCCACTTGACACGTTAGCCCGCTTGTGAAGATCGAGTACCGCTCCTTCATGTTCTGTGAGTCGATTGGTCGGGAGGAGCAGAAGCTGCCTCTGGTTGAGCTAAAGAAGCGCCGCAAGGTGCACCGGAGGGTTGGTTTTGGTTGGACGGGTAGGATTCCCGATTTTAATCGGATGGGGATAAAGGGAAACTGAGCCGCGAGCGAGGGTGTTGACCGGCGAACCGTTAGCCCCGTTGTGTGTATGCAAGCAGA